CGCTCTGGACATGCATCTTTTTGAAGCGGTGATATTGGGCTGCAATATACGGTACAATTACAAAGCTGTATTTTGTGAGTACGGTACGATGCGCCATGCTGTTTGCATAATCTTTGGTGAACTGTCGGATTCTTGAGCGGTCGGATTTTGTTTGTTTAGTTTTTGTTTGGACGGTGGGTGGTTGTTTTTTCGGCTTGGGGAGGTTGTTTGTTTGATCCGTAGATGGCTGTGGTTGTTCCAGGTGTTCGGGGGGAGGGGAGGATCGGTGTTCTTCAGGTCCTCGTTTGTGCTTGGCATGTGCAGATGTTGATGGGGGGGGGGGGGGGGGGGGGGGGGGGGGGGGGGGGGGGGGGGGGGGGGGAAGAGGATCTCCCAAGAATTTACCTGTATCGAGGTGCTCTTGATGCATGTTGAGCACCGCCTTGTCCAAAAGTTGCCGCTCTTAAAGAACAGTCAGGTACCCACGGACTGAAAAAATACAGAGCAGGTATCCAAAAATTACATTCACTCATTATTGCTGAAATAGGAAAGTTATTTTTCCGTAATCAATTCGTTACGTTAATTTTTTACGTCTTCTTCATGTTACCAGGCCTTGAAAATTCAGTTTCAGGTGTTGAAGACACTTAACAGCAATACGGAAGATCCGTATCTCATCTGGGATAATGGTACACGTAATGAGCTACTCGAATTTGTTGAATTTCATCGTACGTCTGCATCCAACACAGTTGGTTTTTTTTTTCTAGAACTGCAGTAATATGCTATGTTTTAGGGCCAAAAGAATGTGCTGTGGCTGCACTGGTTTTTTTAAGAATTCGTGTATTTTATTGAGGAAATTTTCAAAAATTCAAATAGGTTTTTTTTTTTTAAAACCGAACTTTTTCGAATTTTTTTCAAAAAAAATTGGTTTTTTTCGAAAAAATCGAATTTTTGCAGAGTGAATTATTCGGTGGCGAGTTCAAACTTTCTGTTCATGAAAAGGAGTTGATTGTGGGTGATATCTTCGTGAGGATTTACAACGAACAGCCGAATTTTAAGTTACAGGTAAGTTCGTTGAATTTTTAGCCTTCATATTGTAAAGTCCACTAATGAAATTGACAGCACGGCAGTGCTGTGCTTATCGATGATACGACTTTGCAAGCAATCCCGTTGGGGAACAACCATTGCGTCTGCGACTTGTTCAGATTTAACTACCTGGCAAGTGCAGTTTCATCTCAGAGGCTAGGAGGCTGAAATTTTTCGTTTCGACCGATAAATTGGTACTTGCGCGCGCCAGGCAGTTTAATCCGTAATTGACTTTTTATTAAACAGCCTTTGAAAGAAGGTACCATCGATTATTGCCTTACCAGTTCGTAGTTACTGTTGGGACGTTCTACCACAAATGCTGCTTCTGATTGCCTTCAGCTTTTGTGGAAAGCAAGTGTAGAGAGATTTTTGTGTTTTAATTATAAAATTTACCTTTTCATAGTTTTTGTGTGTTTTTGCATATTATGCAAATGCAACAGTGCGTATATTGTCGAGAGCCTGTCTGTCTCTTTGTATGTAATGTATATATGTGTATGTATGTATGCAACTATTGTATGTATGTATGTATGTATGTATGTATGTATGTATGTATGTATGTATGTATGTATGTACGGTATGTATGTATGTATGTATGTATGTATGTATGTATGTATGTATGTATGTATGTATGTATGTATATATGTATGTATGTATGTATATGTGTATATGTATGCATCTATGGTATGGTATGTATGTATATATGTATGTATATACATACATAAGACGTTTCGATCTATTAAGTTATATAACTCTTTAGCTTGGTAGTGTTAATTAAGTCGGTAGTGCTAATGTACCAGTCAAATGTGTGTCATACTGAAGTGTACTATGACAGACGAAACTAATACATGCGCGGTGAAGATGCAAAAATGTTAAAATACCAACAAACTGTGCATCAATATAAATGTATAAATGCTATACGTAGAATGTTTTACTGGCATATTTTGTTACCATCTAACAAATTTTTTTCGTTCCAGACACGCTTTTTTTCCATTTTGCCTTTTTTTATTTATTTGTAAACTGTTTCTTTTTACAGGAACCAAAGAAATTTGGCGATGATTTGCTCCGGTTTTTGCA